TGAAAGAGTTCATAGACTGGAAGATCCAGCAGGCACTTGTAAGACTCTTGAACTAGGGAGGGGGGCATTCTGCCTCTGGTTTTTACTTTCTTTGTAGGTGGAACTGTTTGTATTGTTTTTGTGCAGCATTCAGATCTCTTCTGAGTTGGACCAAATTAGTCAGATGCTCATTTTAACATTAACTGCCAGCATTTATGGGCAGCTTCTCAATAGTTAATCCAATAACTGGAGGTTAGAGAACTTGCACAGCTGTTACTCAGCTCTGTAACTTGCAGACTACTTTATCCTGAATTACTTTCTTACCAGCAGACTGTAAAACACAGTCTCTGCAAGTTGTCTCTGTAAAATGTAGCTGGAGAGTCTCCATGTCAGGGAGGGGTGTGGGATTTCAGGCTGACCCTGCTTGGTGCAGTGGTTGTCATGTTCACCCAGGCTGAGGGGAGAAAGCAATGAGCTAGAACAGAAACAGAGCTGGCTTCTGATTGCAGCATCCTTGCAAAATGAGGGAGGCAGCGAGTTCAGCAATGACTGTGCAGGAGGTGGTGTTTTACCGATGGGAATTCTGGGCTTGTTCTAAGAGAATTGTACAAGAGAATTCCTGCATCAGCTGGGTGAGATCTTCCTATAACAACATGTCATCACCTCCTATAATAGGGATGTACAAGTGTGGCCAATGTTGCAAAACCTACCAGCATTCCTTAGAATGCTGTGTCTTTCCTCAGTTCTCGTGCTATGGGGTTTTATTCTGTGTGGTCAGTCAGTGTGTCCCACTGCAAAGCTGAATTCCCAGCTGGTATCTGGAGGTAAATTCTTCAGCCAACAGAGGGAGCATGCAGTCAGCTTGCTGAGCCAGCGTGAGCAGAGACATTGCAAGAGGTTTAATTCAGTTTGGTGTCAGATTCGTATACCTTCACTTGGAGTTCTCAGTTTCAAATGGAAATTAGAAATCAGTGAATGCTGAGAGAAGAAATTGTTCCTTTTAACATTGCTCCCTTCACTACTTACATTCTTAATTCTCCTCCTGGAATGGAAGAGGCTCAATCTACATCAGGTTTTCTTTATCGGTGATAATCCTTATAAGTACTTTTTGCAGTTTGTTTTACCCGTGACTGATGAGACACTGATGAAAAACTAAACCCACAATGTTTTCACACAACACATTATTTTCCAGCAACACGCACAAATGGTGACTCAGGTTGAGTTCATCTGAAGATGATCTCATGCCTGCAAGTTAAATGTGACAGAATTACCCTCACTGCAAGCTGTCCTGGCTGTAAGCAGCAAGCAGGGTTTATTTGGTGCAAGATGAGAAGTGACTGATGAAAGCATTCAGCACTGTGGCAGCAGATGACTGTCTGCTTCTAAAGACAGGAGTGGCACGCTGTTTTCTACTTAATAAATTGCATCTGGAAAATGGCAGCTTTTGAGATACACATCTGGTTGCACAGGAGAGGCAGCAGTGTGGAGTTTGCACTATGTTTGAAGGGTGAGATCTTGTCGTCTGGCTACATAGATGGGTTTTGCTTATTGAGAAACTTGGGAGTTTCTTTCCTGGCAAACAGGATTGCAGAGGTCAGAGCCTGTGACCATGGGAAACCTTTTTCATCTGGCATTGGATGTTTGGAGGTTGTGTGGTCATGTATGGAAAACTGTTTCTTTTGGATGAAGGCTCATCACCATAACTCCCCATTGCAGGGCATGTTATAGTTGTCATTCAAAAATCTACTAGCTGTGAAAAATCCACAAGTTGTGAATTCTCGGAGTTGTTTGAGAACTGGCAAATGCATCTGCCTTGGCTTTGGGATTCCCCCTTCTCTTGGCCTGTATAAAATCTTAGATGTGAAGATGATCTGGTAAGGATGGGTCAGTGTGGATTGACCTCTGGAGCCTTAGAGGGGACGCTGCAGAGCTGATCTACACAGGCTGTGCTCCCTCCCATCTGCATGATTTTAGTTTCAGATGTACAGTGATACAAACTCAGGGTTTGTGCTTCATTTCCAGCTGTCTGTAAGTGAACCCCGGTTTTGGTGGCAACTGAGAGAGAACCGTGGAAGGACAAACCCCCAAGAACTTTGGGGGGAATGATTCAGACTTTAAGCACAGAAGTTTTTGCACAAGTCCCTGGGAAAGGGGGGCTTGTAGATTTAGTCCAGATGTTATTTAGAACTAACAGCAAAACCGTGTGTTGGTGCCAGGTGAACTGCCCCATCCTGCCGGGGGAAATGGGCAGGAACAACTTAGAGGTAAAATACAACAAAAGGGTAATGTTCTTGTTGAAAAATTACAAGTGCCAATAAGAAAACAAAGGTTCCTGTTGCTATGGCCCATGAGCAGCTGTTTAACTGTGAGACAGTGGAACTCTGCGTGTCCCCACGCTGTGGTCTTGTTCAAACAACACTGCTCAGATTTTGTTCTTTCTGCCATCAGCTGGACTTTGGATGGTCACAATGATGCTCCAGCCATCGGAGCTTAGTGCAGTGACTTAGAATTGGATTTCAAGCAGCTTCAAGCCTATGTGGGGAAGGAGAGTAGTGGGAGTTTGAATTACGTGGTCCTCTTTACTCCCCAAGCCTTGAGTGAGTGTTTGTGTGTAACTTCCAGGATTGTAGGGAACTGTTGGGATCTGGACTTCTTATTCAAGGGCTAACTTGTTGTTGGTTTGTATAATTATTTGCTTCCAATAATGCATCTCATTTGGTTTGAATTGAAGTAAATTATTTTGCTTCTTAAATAACTTTTTTAAATAATAAAACTTAGAATTCTTTGGTTGTTTCTTTTGTTGGAGGCGAGCTAGGCACAGGGTCCACAACCGGCTCACAGAAAGCTTACCATGATACTCCCTGCTTTCCCTGTGGGATCTGGGTTTCCTTGGATTGTCCCTTCTGCAATGTGGCATGAACAGCTGTATTTGTATGTTCACTACAGCATGAACAAGCAGTGAGAGTCGCTTTGAGATGTGCCATGGGCTTGTTCCACAGTCCAGTTTTAGTGACTTCACCAATCTGCATGTCTTGAGTTAGTGCTGAGTCTCCACATTTGCAGTGGGGTCCCTAGGGCATCCTACTTTTGCTTTTGGAAAGGATGATTGCCGAGTCAGAAAGGGGGAGGAGGAATTTCTTTACTTGGCATTCCAAGAGTGAAATCATGTATAAAGTTGTTGCTGTATCCAAATCATGCTTTTAAGATGCTTAATTCAGTCTTCTAAAATACATCCCCTTTGGCTTTCTTCCTGCAATAAGGGGTTGGACCATGCAGAAAGTGTGCTTTGAATGTGTTTCTCCTAAGCCATTGTGTCAGGCCTCTGGAAACACAGACTCCAGTCTGTTTTCTGTGCAAGGAACTTAAGAAGAGGGTATAAAACTCCCTGCACTGTGTAGCTGCAGTAGTAGCTGCCTGTTCCAAAAGGAAAGATTCAGAATATATGGATGAGTGCTTAAAAGCAAGGGATTTTCCTGGCTTGTTAGGAAAGCTTTCCTTCACTGTGAAGGTTAGCTGTGACAATCTGCTCCTACAAACTAGCTCACACCTGAAGGATTTCCTGATTTACGCTGCATTCCAGAGCAGAGGTTGATTTAAACAGCCCTGGAGGGATCTGTGTAGGGAATGACTAAGGGAATGTGGGGAAAGAAGTTGCTGAGGCTCCTTAGTGCAAGGAGCTGTTGGTCAAAGGCACAGCACACCTGGGCATGGTGGGATTTCCCCCTCTGTTAATACTTTTCCTCTTCAGGAATTGAAACCATTTTCTCACAGCCCTTGCCCCCAGGCTTCTATGGGGACGGTTTCCCCTGTGACAGGGCTGCTCTGCTCCAGGAACCTTCACCTCCAAAGTTCTGGCATTTTCCTTTGACCAGAGGGTGGGATAGAGGCAGCTCAGATAGAAAGATGGAGAGGGGGTGGGGTTAGAGCTGTGCTGAAGCCTCTGTGTGTGAATCACTTTGCAGTTGAGAAAGAGCAAGAAGATGGCTTGTTTGTACTCAGTACTTCAGCCTAAAGAGGCTCAGATCTAACTTTAGCACCACATACTCAAGCTTTACTCATATTTCTACCATGAACCTAACTACATTGACCCCGTGATTAAAAAAGCTGTGGGATCAAGAGACCTCCTGAGAAGGGATGACCCTGGCACCCTAAAGGTTAACTTTGGTTTCAGATGTGAATCCCAAGGTCTTGATTATCCAGAAAGGTCCCTGTGGGGGAGCAAAGCAGCAGGAGCCAATTATTATTGACCTTAAATGAAGCAGTTACACAATAACCTGATGTTGGGGGCTCAGAATCTGGGGAATAAGAACAAGAGCAATGCAGAAACTGAAGACTGCTACCGGCAGGGATGAGACCAGGTATTAGAGGTGAAGACTCTGGCAGCATCCCACCTTTGCCCTGTTGGCTGCACCTCCAAATATGGGGGGGGGGGAATCTATTTATATTCTTGGGATTCTATGAACATGTGGGAAGCGGAGCTAAAACTCCCTCAATTCTGGAGAATCTCTTCATTGTAACGCAGCACGTTCGAAGTTGTGCACATCCAGTAGCAACCCTTGAGAGTTTCTGGATTCTTTGGACGTTATGTGATGCTGGGCCAGGTCTCAGCTCGTCTGACTTCACTGAATGGTTGTGCCAGTGGCTTCCCATGCACCTACAGCCAAAATCTATGGCTGGTTATTTCTAGATCTCTATCTTATGCAAGTCACTCATTCCAGCCGCTGTCGAGGACAAAGCCTTTTCATAGCTGTTCCTACGCCATCCAGCACAGGAAGCCTTTAAATGCACGTACACTTCCAACCAGTGCTGGCTTTTCCAGGAGTGCTGCTTTTTCTGTTCCCTTCAGTGTTACTACCAAAGTCACATTGAAGTGAGCAGCAAGCCTCTGCTGCCTGTAGCCCAGATAGTTTGCTTGGCTTGTCCTGATTTCAGTGCAGTTTGTCAGCTCCAGCAAGAGGTGAAGTGGAAACAAACGGGAAAAGACTGTTCCAAATCAAAGCTATTGTATCCCTCTGACCTGGTCCCGGTTTTCTGCTTCCCACCAGGAAGCTGAGCGGAGTCAGGTGCTCAGAGTTATCCTGGCAATATGCAGTGCACTACAAATTGTGGTCATTTCCTTCAGATGGGAACTGTTTTCCAGCTTCATGAGAGATCTGAAGTAGATTTGAGGAGACCCTAATGGACTGGGTACAGCCCTCAATGCCTGGATGCTAGGAAGAATCTACTTAAAGCAAGCAGAAGTACTTCCCAGACTGAAACCCTGCTCTGCTGCATCCAAGCATTATGTGTAGCTTAAAACAGCAGTTTCTTGTCACACCTTTGGTTGTACTAAGTGCTGGTCTCTGTGAGATACACCTTGGTTATGGCTCACCATGTACAGAACTGAGGATCACCCTTACTATTAAGATACACAGTTTTATAACAGCAGTTCCTGAAAAGCTCAGGAACAAAACACAATTCCATGAACTTCCCTTTTGTTTGATCGATTCAGCTGGGAAGATGTGAGGACATTTCCTTTGCTAAAACCCCTCTCAGGAAACATCCTCTCTGAGCAGTGCACTGGTTAGTGAGAGCACATCATTTGTACCCATCCCCTGTGCTGATGAAAACAATGCAAACCTCGGCCTACTCTGCTAAATATAAAATGAAAGCCTCAGTTAAAGAAGTTAAATTTGAGCTGTGGCTTCACCTGTTTCAGTGCAAGTGCTTGTGGCTGCACTTTAAATAGGCTTAGAGCTGACCTCCCTTCTCCTTTTAGAGCAGGAGAGTCTGATTACAGGCAAGTGAAGGGAGTAAAATCAGTGTGAGGCTGTTGTGCCGTCAGTCATCTGCTTGTGCTCTGTTATAGTAGGGTGTTACTTGAGGCTCTGCAGACTTGCTGCAAGGATGTCCCAGCTGAGAATCCCAGGTAGGTCTTAAACTGCAGGTAGTGAGGCCAGGAACCACTGGGCAGGCTGGAGCCCCTGTGGGTCTGGTGGTACCTGTGCAGCCCAGGGCACTTCACTGGGGGCTTTGAGTGGTTTTCTTCCTATTTGGATGGTGCAGCAAAGAAACATTATTGTTTAGGCCAGGTTGGATGGGGCTTGGAGCAAGCTGCTCCAGTGGAAGGTTGTCCCTGCCCATGGCAGGGGGTTGGAACTGGATGAGCTTCAAAGTTCCTTCCAACCCAAACCAGTCTGGGATTGTTTAAATCTTGCTCTGCTCGTACTGAATAAAAATGCTGTCTCTTCTGCAGTGCACTGGATCCTGTAACAACACCATTAAATCACTGTGGAAGGGGGCAGAGGGATTTCAGGAATCTCTGTCAACCTGCCTAAGCTCGGATGATGTGGGGTGCTGTGGTCCCAAGGGAGGGGGAACACGAACTGGGCAGCAGGCGTAGGGCGAGCCAGGCTGTGCAGAGCAGCACAGAGGGACATGTGATGCCATTGCAGAGGAAGATCAGCACCAAGCAGCTCTGATAAGAGCAGGTTAGAATTGCAGTGCTATGTGGTGTGATAGACACTGTCCTGGTGTGTGAAGCTTGTGTCAAAGCCTGGCCCTGCAACCCCAGTGGGAGTCTGTTGACCTTCGTGAGTGTCATTTTCATCCACTAGAGAGAGGAAAGGTCAAAGCAGGCATTTCTGGGATGCTTAGTTTGCAAATGAATACATGGAGTTCAAGTGCCATGAGTGCATATTCTGCTGGCTGGGCTCTGCCAAGTCAGCAGCTGGTGACTTGTGATGCCAGCTCCAGTCTGAATTTGCTGAGTCAGATGCAAAGGGCATGAGTTGCACACCAAAATATTGATGCCACACTATAACTGTGCATGAAAATATCTGCAACTGTCTCAGCAATTTGATCTCATCAGTGGGTAAGTGGAGATGTGACCACAAGCAGCTGGAGGATGAACTTTAGCATCTCTGACGTTCCCATCCACCCTGGTCTTCACAAAGGAGGTGGATGAAAAAACAGCAAAGCAGCCCCAGTGCTCTGAATCACTGAAATGTTTGCTCTCTGTTAAGCAGCAGAATGCTGCTCTGCACTCATCAGTTCTTCCTGGGCTCTTCTGCATCCCCAGGTGCAGGGAGAGGCATTCTAAGACAGCTCAGTGTGATTAGATGATCGGGTATCTGGTAGTTGCTTATGGTGTTGACTGAGGTGATGTAGATTCTAGGAAATGCTGTTCCCTTGGAGAGCTGCAGTGCAGAAGCTCTGCCAAAGAGCTCAGGTCTGATGGCATCTGCTGTGTGGTTCATTGTGCACACACTGTTAGGGTGCTATTATGGAACAGTCAACACAGAATTTCCATCTATAATGTACAAAGAGACAACTTCTGTTCTTTCTTTTGCAAGTGGAAGGCTTTGCCTAAACTTGTCCTTCACTCATCTCTTTATAATCACTGATGCGATGATTAGGCAAAAAGGCTTAAAGTTTGAAGAGCTGATCACATGTGTTTCATTTTGTTTCTGTTTTATCTCAAACAGCAGAAGACAAAGGTGAGTATTTCCAGGCATTTTGTATGCTCTTCCGTGTTACTGCCTAGACATGATCACTGGAAACAAGCAGCAGTTACAGGATCATGGTGATGTTCCAGCAGCTGGAGAAGGTGCTGTTTCTCAGCAGTGCCAACTGTGCCCCTCACTCCTCCGTGGAATGGTTCCAGCTTTTTGCTCCTTTGATATATGAAGCTCTTTGTTAAACATTGTCCTTGAGGCCTGAGCTCCTGCTCAGGAGATAAACATTTCGTAAAGGAGTTCTTTCCACTGCGGCAAGAAGTGAAACATTTTGCAGTTTTCCTTGAGTCTCTTCACACCTTTGTTGTTTATTTGGTTGGTTTTCCCTTTTTCTTAGCAGAGATCCAGCCTAAAGTAACTTCTTTTAAATTTACTTTAGGCTGGAGCATCCTGCTCCAAGAGGATTTGATCCATGAGGGGACAGATCCAGTGTTTCACCTCATTTATTCACATTGTCAGTCCTGTCTGCTTCGATTGTCATCCACTGACTGTGTCCTGTCTGAGATGCCGGTGGTGTCCTCCATCTTTCAGCATCTTTCCTCACTATGCTTCATGCTGAGCTGTCAGCTGCTGGCAAAACCTGCTCGATTACTGTCCAAACGTGCACTTCAGAAGCTGGTACCACAAGAGCCCTTGAGGTTCACATGTTGTTGGCAGTAAAAGAGCTTTTAACCTTCTTTCTCTTTCTTCATAAAGCTCCAGTCAACCTTATCTCAGTGGTGGCTTTCATAGGGGCATGTTAGCTGGCACCTTTGCAGCACACTGCACATGATGGGCTGAGAGGGTTCTCCAGCTAGGAGCTCTTCAGCTGCATGGTGATGGGGGCAGCTGAGTGCTTCAGCTGCTGGTTCTGTCTGTCTCCATCTATACCTCGTCATCATCCTGGCTGGATGCCTTGTGAAGCAAGTGGGTCTTAAGCTTCCTACAGCTGTAAGGGCTCTGCCAGCCTTCCCTTCTTTGTCTCTGTGCATGCTCTTATCAGTGCCCTTTGCAAGAATGGGCTGCTTTCTGGGCTTTTTTTTCACTCTTGGACTGTGGTTTGTACCAGAGGTATCCAGGTATGTCTCCAGCCCTCCATATGTGGCCCAGGCTCTGTTAAGCTTGTTGCAAACTTTAGAGTCTTGCAGGCAGCATGGAGGTGTAGGTGTCCTAAGGGCATCTCTTAGCTGAGAACTAAGATGCTGCATGGGGCTGTTACAGTGGCTGCAAACCAGATGCCTATGTGACCTTGCACTCTTCTCCCTTCAGAGATGGATGAGGCATTGCGCTCCTTCGCAGAGAAGGTCTTTGCCTCTGAGGTGAAAGATGAGGAGACCAGGCAAGAGATCTCTCCTTTTGATGTGGAAGAGATCTGCCCCATCTCACGCCAGGAGATGAGAAAACACATGATACTTCAGGAGAGCACTGTCACGTCAGAAAAGAGGTGAGCAACAACCAGGGCAACTGGGGAAAGGAGAGGAGTGTTGTCTGCACATCCCCAGCCAGAGCGGGGGAACATAAATCAGTGCCTGTGGAAACAGCTTACACCACCCCTGGGATAAATCCTTGGTAATCCCAGGGCATCTTTCAGGTACCTCAGGGTTTCCTCTCCAACTGTTGCCGCTGTTGGACAGAAGGACACCCATGGCCTGTTTCTTAGGTGTCAGCACAGCAATGGCCATGGAGCTGCTGGAGAGGGAGACTCAGAGACCTTTCTCTGGAAAGGTGCAAGTTCTAAAGACTGTGCTTGAAAGTCTGTGGCTGCTGTGTGTGCTGTGAGCCCTACTCCTGGCACTGCCTGTTGGAGATGCTTAGAAAGCACCAGTGAGGTGGTTCATGTAGTGCACAGCTGGAATGTGGCTGTGGTCAGTCCTGTGTGCCTGAGGTTCTCCTACCTGGCAGGAAGAAGCGCTTGTTCCGCATGAAGACGATTGCATTGGCAGTGCCTGTGGCTCATAAGTCTATAACCAAACTATCCGCTATCGAAGAGGTCATCTCCACCTCCCCCCTGTACCAGACTGTGCCTGACTTCCAGCGGGTACAGATCACAGGGGATTATGCCTCTGGGGTAGGTATTTGCATGGCTGTACCCTTCTGCACGCTGACCACCACTTCATACAGTCGCTGCCTGTCCCTCAGTAGTGCCCAGTGTCATTGGAGTCTGTATGAGTTGCAGTGGGGTTAGTCTGTGTCTCCCAGCCCAGTTTGTGTCTCATGAGCATCTCATGGTACCCTGCTGTGTTCCTGGAAGATCCAGAGCTGAATTCCTTAGTGGGAGCTTGTTGAGTGCTGCATGTTCCCCATGGGGTTGTCTGGACAGGGCAGAGGCGAGGGCATGGCAGGACGGGCTATGCTCATTCTGTTGTAGCCTGCACTTGCTTGCACACAACTGTCTGAGATCTGCGCATGTCACAGAATCCCAGAACGGTTGAAGTTGCTGCACAGTATTCTCAATGCTGCCACTCTGACTTCTCCTGACTGAACAAAGCACTTGCCTGTGCAGTATATCAGGAATTATTGACACATTAGGTCAGTGTATGTTGCTGGTCTTGCTTCAGTTACAGCCTGTGCTCTAAAAATTCCTTCTAGTGTTTTGCCTAGACCTTGCGTCCATCTCAGTTTGCAGCAAGGAATGTAAAAGATGATGACAGGGAATTCACTGGTTCTGGCACAAGGAACTTCCCTTTGCCATGTCTAGGACTTTGCCTATCGTCAGCACCTTCCACTAGAGCAGGTTGCTCTAAGCCCTGTCCAACCTGGCCTTGAACACTGAATTGCTGTGAATAAAATCGTCCTCTTTCTCTCTTAGTGCACCAGCTATGTCTCGGGCAGGCAGGCTCCCTTGTGAGTTTGCTTCAGCACCAACTCTCTTGCAGGTGACAGTGGAAGATTTTGAAGTTGTCTGCAAAGGCCTGTACCGTGCACTGTGCATCCGGGAGAAGCACATGCAGCAGTCCATACAGAGGTTCCCCAGGACCCCGTCCCAGTACCTGCGCACTATCGAGGGCGAGGTCTGGAGGGCTAGTGATACTGGCCCAGGCCCATGTAGGTGCTTGGGGGGTTTCCTCTCTGGCTTCACTATGGGGTGGGCAGGGTTGTGGGAGGGCTGCACAGGAGAGTTGCTTGCCCCGGTCTCCTCTTCAGTGAGAGTGGCAGGGATGTCTCTGTCCTCTGCCTGTGGTGGAGGAGCAGGGCAGGCTCATGGGGTTTTGGCTGGCAGCATGTGCCTCATAGTATTGTCCTTTTGGTCCAGTGTTCACCTCGCCAGTGAAGGATGGAGAGGATCCCTTTGACACTGGGAATCTTGGTGAGGACCTGGGATACCACGTTCAGATGAAGGATGGTGTAGTTTATGTCTATGAAGACAAGGCAGCAGCCGACAGAAATGAGCCAAAGAATCTGCCCTACCCCAGCCTTGAACACTTCGTTGATGACATGAACTTCCTCTTGGCCCTGGTTGCACAGGGGCCTGTGTAAGTGCACAACCCAGCACTGCTGGATGCAGCTGAACAGGTCCTGCCTCAGCGGGCAGAAGGAGGTCAGGGCAGAGCCAGGGTTGCCCCCTCTGCTTCCTGGGCAGAGGGAGGAAACCCCAGTGACATACCTGCAGCCTGCTGGTTTCCAAAGTGTCCTTGGCTCTTGTCATCCACCTTGATTGGGGTCTTAAGCAAAACCAGCATTGAGGGATTGGAGACACACTCTGCAGGTATGCTCACAGCTGGCCAGGCCTTCCTTTGAAGCTCTGTAATAGAGCCAGGAGAAGCATCTTAGGGAAGCAGGGCCAGGCCAGCATGAGCAATTCCACTTCAGGAGAAAGCTGCACCCTAGTGTTTGATGTGCCATGCTCCTATGTTGAGGGGGAAGGAGCCCTGTCACTGTTCTGCCCTTTGCTTTCACTAGTAAGACCTATGCTCATCGGCGCCTGAAGTTCCTCTCATCCAAGTTCCAATTGCATGAAATGCTAAATGAGATGGATGAGATGAAAGAGCTGAAGAACAACCCCCACCGGGATTTCTACAACTGCCGGAAGGTAAATGGCAAAGCTTAGAGCCCTGGTAACTCTGCAGATGAGCTGTCTGGGTGCCATCCCCACCCCGCCAACTGCATAGTAGAGTCAAGATCTGTGGCATCTACACTGTTGCTGCTAATGGGATGGTGCTGACTGGGGTGCTCTTGGCCTCATCCTGTTGTGTTCATCTGCTGAGCTCCCCACGCATATTGGGCTCATATATGGGGTTTGTTGGCCTCCGTGTAATGGTGCCTGAGCATTCCAATTTGAAACTAGGTAGCTGTCCCTCTGGTTTCTCAGGTGGACACACACATCCATGCTGCAGCCTGCATGAACCAGAAGCATCTTTTGCGTTTTATCAAGAAATCCTACTTTGTGGATGCTGACCGCATAGTTTATGATGCCAAGGGCAAACAGCTTACTCTGAAACAGCTTTTCCAACAGCTCAATCTGCATCCCTATGACCTGACAGTGGATTCTCTGGATGTCCATGCTGTAAGTGGTAGGGCATTTACTACAGGACCACTCTCAGGTCACACTTACCCACCACTGTAGGCACAGCTTTCCCTCTCCCGTGCACTCATGACATCTGAGTGGTTGTGGCAGGATGCAGCAGCTCCTGGCTACCCCATTTTGGGTTATTTGGATCAGCAGTGTGTGTAGCCTTTACCCTGACCCTCCCCTCCCCAGGGACGTCAGACATTCCAGCGCTTTGACAAGTTCAATGACAAGTACAACCCCGTGGGTGCCAGTGAGCTGCGTGACCTCTATCTGAAAACAGACAATGCTATCGATGGCGAGTACTTTGCTACCATCATCAAGGTGAGAATACAGAGAAGGAGAGCACAGTTAAGCTGCGGTGCTGCTGTGCTCAGAGGCTGGAGGGTCCCCAGGCAACTGCACCCTGGTTTGCAGGAGGTTGGATCTGATCTGGAGGATGCCAAGTACCAGTACATGGAGCCTCGCCTCTCAATCTATGGGCGATCAGCTGAGGAGTGGCCCAAGCTAGCCAGATGGTTCACCAAACATCGCATCTATTCCCCCAACATGAAGTGGATGATCCAAGTACCTAGGATTTAGTATGTGCTGTGGGTCTGAAAGAGCCCTGTGCCTTATCATAGACTGGTTTGTGTTGGAAGGGACCTTAAAGCTCCTCCAGCTCCAGCCCCTGCCACAGGCAGGGACACCTTCCACTAGAGCAGCTTGCTCCAAGCCCCTGTGTCCAACCTGGCCTTGAGCACTGCCAGGGATGGGGCAGCCACAGCTTCTCTGGGCACCCTGTTCCAGAGCCTTAGCACCCTCACAGGGAAGAGCTTCTGCCTAAGAGCTCATCTCAGTCTCCCCTCTGGCAGGTTAAAGCCATTCCCCTTGGCCTGTCCCTACAGGCCCTTGTCCAGAGCCCCTCTCCAGGTTTCCTGTAACCCCTTTAGGCACTGGGAGCTGCTCTGAGGTCTCGCCAGAGCCTTCTCCTCTCCAGGTTGAACAAGTGCACTCTATCTCATTTTTTATCCTGAAGGGATTGTGGGGACAGTGGGACATGTTCCTCTGCTAGCAGCTGATCCCTATCTGTGTCCACAGTGATGTATTCAGGTCTAAGAATTTCCTCCCACACTTTGGGAAAATGCTGGAGAATATCTTTGTCCCTGTGTTTGAGGCAACTATCAACCCTCAAGCCCACAAACAACTGAGCGTCCTTCTACGCCATGTGAGTCCCACCTGATGATGTTGTTGGGGTGTGATGAACATTCACTTTCCTGTTTGTGCACAAAAAATGGGGTATTACCCATGGAAAACCTCACTGGCGCCAGTTGGGGTGGGACAGGGCTACAGGCTGCAGTGGGGTGATGGCAAGCTGCAGTGGGGCAGGGCGAGCTAGTCTGCCTGGGCATGAGGAGGAGGGCAGCTTTGAGATGCAGCTTCTCTGTTGCCTTGCCAAGCAGATCACTGGCTTCGACAGCGTGGATGATGAATCCAAGCATAGTGGACACATGTTCTGCACTAAGAGCCCAAAGCCAGAGCAATGGACTTCGGAGAAGAACCCATCCTACACCTATTATTTATATTACATGTATGCCAACATCCTGGTGCTGAATAACCTACGCAGGTGAGGCCCAGGATCTGCTAAGGGATGTGTGATGGGCTGGCAGAAGCAGGGCTGCCTCATGAGTTGTCTCAGCTCTTTGGTTGTTCGTGTGGAAAAGTGGGGTCCCCCATGCTCTGGCACCAGTGTAGTTTGGAGCTTTATGTCCCAGAGCCATCCAAACACTCTTCTGTAGGAAGTGTGATGAACTGGGGTGAAAACTTTGGAGTTGCAGAGATGCATCTATTGCATGCACAGATCATAGAATCCCAGCCTGGTTTGTGTTGGAAGGGAACTTAAAGCTCAGCCAGTTCCAAACCCCTGCCACAGGCAGGGACACCTTCCACTAGAACAGCTTGCTGAAGATAAGGAATGATGACAAGTAATGTGCTCCTAGTTCAAGCTGAATTCTTGGGGACTCACTGCTGGGGGCAGAGCTGGACCTGAAGTCAGGGAATCTTGCACTATGGCCACCTACCCCTGCTGCTTGCTTGCTCTAAGTTCTTCTTCCATGTGCCTAGGCAGCGTGGCATGAACACGTTCCTCTTCCGTCCACACTGTGGGGAAGCCGGGGCCATCACACATCTGCTTACAGCCTTCATGACAGCAGATAACATCTCACACGGTCTCAACCTCAAGAAGGTAAGTGGAGTAGTATGTCACAGAGCAGCCCAGGCATGACAGAGGAGCACATGCACACAGCTGGCATCCACTGTAGCTGTGTTAATTGCACCTCTGCTTTAGACTGACACAGCCTGGCTTCCAGAAGATGTTACATGATTCTGTGGGTTCCTCGAGGCATGGAGGGATGTTCTCCAGGCATGTTTGGGGATGTAGCTGAGAAACATATTCAGATTTCAGAGGTTCAGCCTCACAGACCTATCACTGGATATGTCTGTTGTCACTGGAGCCAGACGAGTGCTGAAATCAGACAGGTTTCAACTCAGTTGGCCTCTTGTGCTCCCTGGAGGACTGCTCCCTTGCCTGTCTCTTGCACATGTGAACTCTCTTTGTTGGATTTCCTAGCTGGGGCACTGGGCTGATTAAGGAGGGACCCCGGAAAGGTGAAGGACACAGCAACTGTATTCCTAACCTGGCAACTCTGATCATCTTTGCAGACCCCTGTGTTGCAGTACCTGTACTTCCTTGCCCAAATTCCCATTGCTATGTCCCCACTCAGCAACAACAGCCTCTTCCTGGAGTACGCAAAGAACCCATTGCCTGACTACCACCAGAAGGGCCTCATGGTGTCCCTTTCTACAGATGACCCCATGCAGTTCCATTACACCAAGGTACAGCAGGAGCTGATCCCTGGGCTCATTTCTCTGGGAAGCCAGCAGTGTTTGCCAAGGGTCCAGTGTGCCGGGGTGGCCCTGGCTGCAGTGGAGCCTCTAACACAGCCTGTGTCTGCAGGAGGCCCTCATGGAGGAGTACGCCATCGCTGCCCAGGTCTTCAAGCTCAGCACCTGTGACATATGCGAAATTGCCAGGAACAGCATCCTGCAGTGCGGCCTGTCCCATGAGGTGGGTGCCCCTCTAGGGGTCCTAGAGGCCTGGGGATGAGGAGCAGCTCCACAGCACATGGAATCTGATACTGGTTTGGGCTGAAGAGAGACCTTAAAGCTCACCCAGTTCCAACCCCTGCCACAGGCAGGGACACCTTCCACTAGAGCAGCTTGCTCCAGGCCCTGTGTCCAACCTGCCCTTGAACACTGCCAGGGATGGGGCAGCCACAGCTTCTCTGGGCACCCTGTGCCAGCGCCTCAGCACCCTCACAGGGAAGAGCTTCTGCCCAAGAACACCCCAATGTTCTCAGCCTGGCTCCAGGCCCTGATCAACCTCGTGGCCTCCTCTGGACTTGCTCCAACAGCTCCATGTCCTTCTGTTGGGGACACCAGAACTGCGCTGAGCGCTGCGGGGGGGTCTCACTGCTGCCGGCTGTGCTCAGGGCAGGGCGCTGAGGGCGCCTCAGGGCTCTGCAGCGCTTGTCCTGTTCTCTGACAGGAGAAAGCCAAGTTCCTGGGTGACAACTACCAGGAAGAGGGGCCCCAAGGCAACGACATCCGGAAGACGAACGTGGCTCAGATCCGCATGGCCTATCGCTACGAGACCTGGTGCTACGAGCTCAACCTCATCGCCGAATGCCTCAAGAACGACTAGGGGCAGGGTCGGACCTGCGAGAGGACGGACCCGGGGCGGGGTCGGACCGGAGAGGGGACGGACCCGGGGCGGGGTCGGACCGGAGAGGGGACGGACCCGGGGCGGGGTCGGACCGGAGAGGGACGGGCCTGGGGCGGGGTTGAACCGGGCCGCGCAGTAAAGCCGGGTCTGTTAGCGGCGGTGTCAGTGCCCCCGTGCGGCGGCGGTGGGCGGGGTTGGCGCTGAGGGACGGCTGCGAGAGCCAATGGGCGGGCGGCTCGGTGCGCGCCGGGAGCGCCCAGGCGGAGCGGAACCGAGCCGGGGCCGGGCGGCGGCAGCGGGTGAGGCGGGGCGGGGGCAGCGGCGGCCCCCAGGGGGCTCGGGGTGGGCGGCTCGGCCCGGCCCGGGGAGGGGGTTAGATCCGCCCCGGGGGCCAGGCTCGGGGCGGCCGGGCGGGACGTGCTGGCAGAGCCGGGCGGGCTCCGCGTGCTGCTGCTGGCAGCGGTCCGATCGCTGCCGGTTCCCGGGGCTGCCGGGACCGGGTAAGGAAGCACCGCGGCGGCTTTTGCCGCCCCTGAGCTAGGAGGGGAGCAGTGCTGCGGCCGAGGCTCGCCATCCCCGGCTCGGGAGCGCCGGTGCCGGGTCCCGCAGCTCCGCCCCGTGGGTCTCGCGGAGCAGTGACCGGAGCGTTCCCCCGCGGGCAGGGCAGGGAGCTGAGCGGAGGATGTGGGTGCCCCCTCAGCTGAGTCACCAGCCCTGTGTTCTACCGCGGCCCCTCGTCCTCTTCCGCACGGAGAGGACACGGGCGGGGGGGGGAGTGTGGGAATGACATCGGTGTGCGCCCAGGGCTCCCAGCCAGGCGCTTTCCAGTGATGGGCACTAGCTGGTGCACGGGAAGATCCCTCTGAACATCAGGAAACGCTTCTGCTGTGGGTGGCCCCGCTGGGGCAGCGGTTGGACGAGCTGAGCTCCAGAGGTCCCTGCCCACCTCAGCCGCGCTGTGATCCTCCGGAGTTTCGTTAAGGCAAATGATTTACTAGGAGGTTATGATGGTTTAGGTAGCGCTCGGTACCTGTGCTTTGCTGCACTGAGGTGTGCAGGCATGAGGTGTTGCAGAGGTCCTTTCTGGCAGGGCTGCCTGAGGGCACGGTGTGTAGGCTGCTATGCCGGACCTGCCTCTCTGCCTTTCCTGGTCACTGCGTAGATCCCTCTGTTCCACTTACCATGGCTGAATGCAGCTTGTCACCTGGCTACCACGGCTCTGATAAAGCCCTAGGAGTGGTGGGAGCTCTTTCTCCTGACAGCTGGGACTTGCATCAGCCCTAATGATAGGAGCATAAAGAGTTGCAGTAAAACCAGCTCCTGGAGATGTGTATTTGGGCAATGGTGGTTGTGGTTTCTGCCGTCCCTGCCTGTCAGTTACAGAAAGGAGGGATGGGGAGTGAGTGGTGACCTTGCTGCATGAGAAGGGAGAGTGGGGCAGAGAAATGAGAATGTGCTGGACAAGCCAGTGTGCCCTCTGTCAGGCGAAGCGGGGATGCAGGGGGTTGGTCCAGTGGTGAGGGAAAGGCGCTGAGCAGGATGCCTGTGGTGGCCCTTGTAGCATAAAGGTGGTGGTGGCTTTATGGTGATGCCAGCCCTGAGGGAAGCCTGGAATCTCACCTCCTACAGCTGCACCAGGAAACAGCTCCAGGATGACTCCTGTTTGAGTTTAACTTTTCCTTTGTCACTACCTTGGGTCTCAGTTCTTGTGTGAGGCTGTGGCATTCCTGGGGCATAGAGCCAGCCCGTGGTGTAGTGTGAGTCAGTCCTGCTAACACGAAAGTTCAGATCCCGTGAGTCAGGTTAAAACCCATGACTTTAAAAATAGTACATTGTGGGTTCTATCCGGGTGTCCTCTGCTATAGCAGCCTTCAGGGCTTACATGCTTAAAGCAATTTGGCTTTTAGCATGGGTAAAAGCTTTCAAGAAGTTGGATTTCATCACTTGAAAAACAGACTGGAAGTTGAGAGATCCATCTGTTTCTCAGTACAAAAGTCTTGGGACCCATGCAGAGGTCAGACTTAACCTTCTTTTGCCATGTACTTAAGATTGACATCACATTTACTACGTCCAGGGGCTGTGTGTCTGATGAGGTGGAGCTCTGTTTCTCAGCATGACAGGCAGAAGCTTTGAATGAGTTAATACCTAGAGCTGCTCTGTATCGAGATGGAAATGACTAAGCACACTGCATTCCTGAAGTGTTACTTATTTTGATATAAAATCTGCATGTTTGGTACTGCCCATGTCCTTCAGGCATCAGCATGGCAAGAGTTTGGTTCAGAAAAGCTTCAGGTTCCTCCCAGAGCTGAACAGAATGGGAGTAGCTGAAGACTCTAGAAGGGGTCTTTGCTGCTGTGCTGGCTGCCCCCTCATCCCTCCAGCGCTGAGCTGGCAGCTTCCCTAGGCTCCAGGAGACCAGAAACGATCTTTTATTTGGCTCCCAGCACAGGAGGCTTGGTGAGGAGGAGGTCTCCTGGGTGGTTTGGAGTGGCACGGCTCTCACAAACAGAGCGAGGGATTGCTTCAGGACTGCATGGGCTTGCCAAGGCAGTGATTTGCGTGCTCTCATGCCCGTGGTGCAGCAGGATAAGGTAAGGTGGTGTGTTCGTGCTTTGTTTAGCTGATCAGCTACTGGCATGAGGGTGGTAAGGGGGGTTGTGGGGTACCAGCAGCACCTGCGAGGAGTGGGCTTGACCTCAGCATCAGAGTATTTCATTCTTGGAGAGCAGTGGCAGCATTCTCTCCTGGAGTGTGTGGTTTCAGGAAATGGAATTGTCTCGAGACGCTGCATGGAAAATGCTTCGTGTGCTCTGGCTCTCAGAACTGGAAAAAAGAGTCAGGGCTATCTATCATGTGGTGTGAGTGTGCCTCATTCTGCTCGGGTTGAAGAGGTGGGAGCTGTGTTCAAACAGCATGGATCCAAGAGGCTCCCTTTCAGGAGAAACGTGTGATGCTTTGTCTGGAAATTACTGTATTTCTCTTCACCCCAAACCCCACTTTCAGTGAGATAATTCAACATTCTTAACTACATCAAGCTGCTGGAACTGCTCATGCAGTAGAGATGATGCATTTGGCTTCTGTGGAAAGACTGTGAAGCATCCTGAAGCCACTGAAAGAATTTGGAAGTAGAGGTCAGGAGAGAAGCAGTCATGTTACATCTGGTTTGTTTGTGAAAGGAATGGGGTGTGTGGTCCCTGAGGTGCAAGTGCTGGCTTTTTCACCCAGGTGGTCTCTACCAGTTCTGTGTCCCTAAGCTGGGTTTTGGCTTATCTGAGGGTTATTTGCTTGGATCAGACCATCTCAGTCTGCTCTTTCCTCACCAAAGATCAGTCTCTACTCTTGCCCTGGCTCGTGTAATGAGCTTAGATTAAATGCCTAGTTCTTGATAGCAGCTTGCAAGCCTGAGCAGGTGAAGGGCTGCACTATTCTCCTCCTCGGATGGTTATTTCGGAAGACACGGTCCAGGGCTGTGGCTGGTGGAGCAGTGCTGAGCAGGAGAGGGGTGGGTGCTTTAGGCTTCTGCTCTCTGCTCTGTGTTCAAGATGAGCCAGGAGCTGGGTGTTTCTAGTTGTATCTGGTGGTTCAAAGACCAGTGACGTGCCTTGGAAAGACCTGAACAGCTTCTTAGGTGAGTGAACCGTATGGCTTCACCTTCTAAGTAGTACTACTTCTCCAGGGAGTGCGTGGAGCTTCACTGGCTGGAGAAGTAGTATTACTTGGTAGGTTTACAAAGGAGAGAAAATGAGCTCAGTGTGGATCCTGTTTCTGCATATGGGTCTGTGTAGTTCTGGATGGTAGTTGCGTGATTGCTTGAGCACTAGGTGAACTGCTTGAACTCTGGGTATTCATCAGTGAGCAGAACCAGAGGCAGCCCTGCAGAGTCTCACCAGTACCTGTATGCTGGCTGGGACTTGTTGGTTGTGCCTCATCATGGAGGCACTGAAGTAGGAGAGGTCAGGAGCACCAGGCTGACCTGGACCGTGGCTCTATATCGGAATGTGTCAGACTGGCTGAGGAAACTACAGCAAATGCACTTGTTATTGCACCGTTACCGTGTGAGTGGTTGGAGGGAGGATCTGGGGCAGGCTGGCAGCCAGCAAACCTGAGCTGCCAGAGCACAGGCAGCCCTGCATGCTCTGGGGAGGGACCCAACTAGAAAGAGGAGCAGGGCTGCTCCACCTGCTCTGCCTGAATGGCCTCATGGATGCTGCATGCAGATGTTTTGCCAGGCTGTTGTTCTGAACTCCAGGGTGTATTCAGAGAGGAAAGCTGCCAGCGCTGTTGGGAAGCAGGGGAGCCACGTGGACTTACTGTCAGCATGAAGCTTCACATGCTCCATCAATGCATATGGTGGCCTTGAACTGCTTAATCCTGTGAATAAGCCCATTGCTCCACACTGCAAGGTCCTTTGGGGTCCTGTCCCTATGTGAGTTGTCCCTGTGTGAGTTCCTCATCCAGCGGTCCCGTGTTTGAAGACATGGCAGGGAGTAAAAGCTCTGAAACTGTACTGGCTGAAAGGAGGTTGTTTCACCCCTCTGCTAACCTGCTTTCCCCATCAGAGCTTTTGCTTCTTTGCTGGTTTATGCTTCAGGTCCTCAGGAGCAGCACTGAGAGTAAATGCAATGGTGTAGGAAAGGGGAAAGTTGCTTTCCTGTCTGCTAATCAGAGCTGTGCGGGCAGGCACTGAGGAAGGATGGCTCTGCTCTGGCTCAGGATGTGTTGGAAACAATGCCTATTTATAGGAGGGGCCCCTCGCTGCCTGGAGCAGCCTGGCTGGGCAGGAAGAGGGTCTCGCAGCAGGGCACAGGAGCTCTGCAGTACCCCAGGCCAGGGGGCTGGGACAGGGGTAGGTGGGGTTTGGATTTTGTGTGTTCTGTGTCATCCTTCAACTTGTTCTGCCCTGTCCCTGCCCCTCTGTGCTGGGATCAGCAGGGGCCTGCCTGCACCTCACTGCTGGCAGGAGTGCGGAGGGGATGCTGTGCCATGC